GAGCCACATTCGCGACACACAGCGACTATCTCTTACCATTCCGAGACAGCCATATCTGGGACGTGCGGCGGCCTCAGATTCCTGGAACTCTCCATGCTACCAGAATACTGGCTTTTGGCAACCTTTTAGCAACCTTTTGGCGGCTGTCATGGAACGGCCCTTGTCTACCATGCCCTACCTAGAACTCAATAGACCGAACTAATCGAATCTCGCCGGGACTTGGTCGACACGTGCAAACCACCGCAACCTTGGAAATTGATATGAGATCCTCCGGTGAGGAGACTAGTCGACAAGGACATTTTCAGACGTACCAAGGTACAAAGTTCCTGCTCCGAATGCAATTATACCAGAGTTCTCCCAAGCATCTCAGCCCACCAAACTTCCCCGCCTCATCGCTTGCTCCGGTCCCTCAATGTCCGTACCACATATTGGCCGCCTCTGCTGATTGTAGCACGAGTCCGTGTATATTTGCAATGCTCTATTCAGCGCAACGGTTACAGTTTTCATGCTTGGCAGTGAAGACACGATCCTATCAGGATCCACTTTATATATTCATTTCCTGTTAGCAGAATGCTGAACAAAACGCAATTGTTTCCTTGCAATTTTCCAACCGCGCAGCTAATCTCCACCGACGAGACTACAACTTTCGCTCGACAGTTCAAAGTACCCCCCTACCGAGAATGTCACCCACCTCACCATTAAAATTATTTGGGTACATCCTAGCATGAAAAGAACTTCATGCTGGCGAATATGCTCCTCACCTATCTGTAAATTTCTGTTCGTATCACGACTACAGTTCAGTTTTTCTTTTTTTCCGGTGGGTACCGTATCCTCTCTATATGTATAAAGTACATGGTAGCGATCGAGGCCAGACCTTTTCCGTAAGCGGGCGCTCAAGAGAGCAATTTATTTCTGGAGGTGCAGTCACTGCACTGTGACTAGATGCTCACTGTGGGGATTCGGAGATCTAAGATTCCAAGCGCCACTTCATACCTCCATGCTGATTCGTCCCGTGACGTACGGCTCTCTATTTTCTTCTCTAAACTCCCAGGCTCAGGACTCGCAGCCCAAGAAATAGGAAAAGGCTCCGGGCGGAGCAATGTAATCGATGTGGCTAAGGCGCAAGAACACGGCGTAGAGGCCGAAAGTAATTGACAGTCTGGGGCGAAGGAGAGTGGCTCGATATTAATCAGAGGGGAAGGCGATCATCCGCAGTACATGGCTAAATGTAAGAATACCGAATATATCCTCCGCTTACCTGAACTATCGCGACATCTCTCGGAAGAACAGCAGCAACACACAACGCAACGAAATAAGGCACCTGAAGGATCCCGGTTGTCCTAAAAACCGTTCCTTTGTGCACATCCAAACGGTCCTATTTTCATTCTCCCAAGACTCCTTGGTGGTTGGGTTGCGCCAGCCGATCCTGAAACAGCAATAGTCTTGAACTATGCAAACCTAGACTAGCGCCTACTTTGGAAAGTGCCGTGCGTCTTGGAGACACAGGACGGGGCCTTGATTCCGTCTCTCAAGGGCTGCCCACTGCCGGCAGCCAACCTTTGACACTCACCACCACCGCTCGTTTCACGCCTCCACGACACGCACGCCTCATTCATCGCGCCCATCCATCCCATCAACCGCCCTCTGTACTCGCCTTCGTCACGACAGAGACTGCGACGTTGAGGGACCGCTCACTAAGGGGTCAATAGACCCATCGGCGCCGCTCAGGGACCGCCAGCCGCCATGGACAAACGCCACGAAAACGACAACGACAGCGACCGAGCCCGGAGGACGCCATCGCCGGATCGTAATCCCAATGTCTTCGACGACGAGTATGCGCTGGGCCCGGATGAGGATGAATTCATGCCCACCGTGTCAGATGGCTTTCGCCCGGCAGGAATGGGCAACAACATGACATCGAACGACGACCGGCAGAACCAGAATCGAAGCGCTCTTCCGCGAGTACCACCTCTCATGACGACACAGCCTATGGATAGCGATTTGAGGCGGATAGCATCGCGAAACAGCACCATGAAAGCATCTTCCGGTCCGGAAACTGCAGGCCACGATTCACACGAGCAGACCAACTATGGTCGAGGACACAATTCGCGGGCCACAGCTGGCTTGCAGCACCGTGAATCCATCAGTTCCACAGGCTCCTTCGCAACAATGGCACGATCCGAAAGCCCCCTCGGCACAGGTCCGAGCCACCCGTATGGTATGTATCAGCAGAATACCATGGCGCGGTCTCCGAGCGTAACGACATCCTCCACTCATCAGCCTCAGCGGTCTATGTCTTTGTCTCGCCCAACTCATCCATACGGCATGTATCAGCAAAACGTCACCGAAGATGACGAGCCTCCTCTGGCCCCGGTGCAAGCTGCCATTCCAGTTGGGTTCCCAGGACTCAATACCAATTTTCATCGACGATTGGGGCCCGATGGTGAGGAGCAGGATATTGTAGGACCAGATGGCCATGCGGAACAACTTCCACCTTACACAAGATATCCAGAGGAGGGGCCAACCAAGGCCGCCATGGTCGCCGAGGCCAATGCTACGCCAGTGGAGTCTGCCAACCCCACAGTAAACGCATTTGATGATGTTAACGCCATTACCCCAACTACTCCCGTATCACCACTCCATGCACTACCGCCAAACACTGTAATAGAACAAAGTACAGAGCCGCAAACTCAAGATACGGCGCGTCCAGAAACTTCCGCTTCACGACCGGCCCCATCGACCACAGCAAGCAGTGAACCGGAGATATCCGAGAAGAATGAAACCACGGCTAAGAACAAGAATTGGCGCTCAAAGAGACTATGGGGGAAGGTCCCCATGGGTGTTGCTCTCATCTTGCTCGTACTTCTGCTGGTGTTTGCGATTGTTCTCGGTGCTGCGATTGGAACATTCGTTGCTAAGAGCAAAATCAAGGATCGAGGGCCGAGGCGTGGGAAGGATCATGAGGAGCCGTAAGTCTATCCAATGCTACCACTTCTTATCGTTACTAACATAAGCTAGGTCACCACAAGTCACTCCAACACATTCCCTCTTTGATGCAAGCCCTATTCCTACACCTACATGGCTACCTCCCCTCCCTACTGGTGCATTCGCACTGCCCTTGGGCATCGCACAGGAGAGTAGCCCAAGCTGTCTGACTATGGCCAACCAATTGTCTGCATGGTCCTGCAAGATGACGTTTGCCCCACTCGTTCTCACTGTCAGTAACCCGTCGAATCCTGGCGGCCGACCTCTTGCGAACTTGCAGGCTCTCACAAAGGCCGATGGAAGCGTTCAATACGGCGTACAGCCACCTTCTCTTCCGATACAACCTATGCCTATGCAGCTCGTCGTCGACTTGGATTACAAGGCTTATGGCCCTGCTTTTCACTTCTCGGCGAGATACGACAAAGTCGTAGTACTCAACTCGATCGAGTTCGCTGCTGGTTCCGCTCTCAACAGTCGTCAAGAAAAACCTCCTGACAAGCCCTCGTACCGCCACCGTTTTCAAGTTCTACCTGGTGATGCTCCTTGGTTCTGCGTCTGGAATTCCACATATATTGAAGGCTACATCTACGCGAAAGACAACTCAACTGCTGCCACATTTTCCGCCTTCCCAACAGCCTGGCCCTCCAATGCATATGGATCCTCCGTGTCTGCCGAATCCCTCCCGCCTTTAACGTCAGAGAGCGGCTCCCCAGCCCAGACTGCATCGCCGACAATTCGTAGAAAGAAACGAGGGGATAGCGATTACCCACGATACCCACCCTATCCACGCATCGTTAAGATTGAAGAACGTCGTCTCCCTGGATCACCCCAACCTTACTGCCAGAAAATGCGATTATTCGACAACGGCCAACTTCTCGAGGCACTAGACAGCAACAGTAAACCCATCCGAATATACCTCCAGGAGAATGACCCGACATACGAACAGTTCTTTGGTGGCAATACTCTGGTAACCCCTTCGCCCACTGCTGCTCCAGGCGCCAAGAAGCGAAGCGATCCTACTGGGGCGTGTCATTGCCAGTGGATGTTCCAATAAAGATTTTACATCGAGTATTGCGTTTTGTACAGCATTTGGGAGGTTTAGCGTCGATCACATCACAGGTCTGGCATGGTAAATGTCAAATACAGTGCAAACAGAGCATTTCATTATTTTGGGCATTGGCGTTTGAGCATACACGCTGGGTTCTATCATTGGCTCTTTCTCCGTAATGCACTATCGCCCGCAGCATTCTTGGGCCTCTTTCTTCTCACCTTCTACCAGCACCGCGCAGCGCTTTTCACGGCGCCAGACATGTATTGTTGTTTCTCATATTGCATGACTTGCGAGAAAGCATAGTTTGCAAACTATTCATGGCGTTCTCATGGTTTTTTTTGGAGGGAATGTGATACTAAATATTTTTTTATAGGGAGGATGTAAGCCCATGTCGGGTTGAATGCGGCCAGGAATGGAATGGAATGGATATGATGAGATGGACAGGCGCGAACATGGAGCGTCGCTATAGTAGCGCCGGTTTGGCAGTCTTTTGGGTAGAGAAGGCAGATGGGATTGTAAATACAATGGACTTCTTCATCATACATGCAAAGGTTTCTCATTCGTGTATTTGATCCAATGATGACTAGGAGCGTTGTGGATTGACCCAAGCAACCACAAACAACAATCACATCAATAACATGACAAACTACCAATAGATTTCACACGCAGAAGATCAGAAGATCGTTCACCAAGAAGGCATTCCCGAATGCATCAAGAATAGAACAGCCCACTTCCTTTCAACCCACACCGTGCCGTGCCATATCTCCATTTGTCCAAGTCCGTCTCCATCTCTCCATCCGTCCAACCCCTACTCCCGCCAAGCCTCGGCAAACTCCGGCCAAAAAAAAACTTTCAACGCCGGGCGCCCTAGCCCCTGACTGGTCGAACTATGACTAACGTACCACACCCGTCCACCGAAAAAGACAGAACAGAAAGACAAAAAAAGAAAGAACTCAAGTTCTAATGACCCTGTCCCGACTCGAACGGGAAACCTTCAGGACATTCCTGCAGAAGCTGGAATCTGACGCGCTACCATTGCGCCACAAGGCCGGTGCTCGAACAACTTGTGTTGCTGTTGCTTTGTTTGATGAAAGTTTGGGCGTTGGTTTATTTTATATAGGTAGAGAAAATTCAGAGGAGGGAGTAGGGAGAAGGAGAGGTCAACGGATATTGTGGTGAGGGGACGGAGTAGGGATCTGTGGGCTCTGGTGGGGCGGGGTCGAGGTTTGGGACTTAGTGGGATTAAGGGTTTCTGGAGGGGTACAGGGGGGAGGGGATGTATTAGGCGGCTTGGGAGATGGGCAAGGACGAGAGGAATTTTTGAAAACAAAGAAAAAACTTGGGTGGTTTGGTCTTTGTTTCTATTTTCGGTGATGGTATGTTGGATGATTGGTGTCGAATGTGATGAGATACAGTTCCTGTATGCGATGGTCTTTCAGCTTGTGGCGGTGTTGAGCAAGTCGCCACGGGTAATGGGAGGGCCACTGCGGCTGAGTCTTTCTCCGCAATATGATGACGGGAAGGGGAATCGAATATCGTGAAGACTGGAGTAATTATATACATGTGCTTTTTCTATCTGGATTTCCTGGATTGAGGCGCGTTCGTGGCGCATGTTGATGCAGCGAATAAATCAGAGCTCATGTCTTTGAGCAAGTGCGTATGTTGAAGTCTTCGCAAGGGCTATGCCATCTACTTCAACATAGTAAATATCGACACAACGGTTCTATAATTTTGATTAAATTCTGCAGCATATAATTCTCAATAATCTCTTTCGTTTGGTGTGGTTTTCATTGGTAAATCTCCCCGTGTCGGATTTTCCGTAATTATTATGGTCTTTCTCATTGCACCTCAACACAAACCTGGCACAAAAGTACGAACATTGATCATTCCACCATAGAACACAACCGCCAAACATTACGTCTACAACAATCTTACCAGATCCAAAAGAATACTCAATATATCAGCCTCAAAAATGAAACAATCGATTCCAAGATGCAACATTGTCGTCGTTTCGAGTGTATGGAGGATCGGATGTTCATCCGAGGTGCCCAGTTCCGCTACCAACGTTCGAGATGTACTACTACCTAGACATACACAGCTACGTAGTTATTGAAATACCCTCATAAGTGCAATGAAAGAGCGTTGTTTCCACAAACACACACACACACACACACACACACACACACAATACCTTGGATTTGTCTCCCTGCTCCCTTCAATCTGAATAGTGAATACCCATCATCCACTCAGGCCACTCATCCTACCCCGTCCAAACCCTGAAGTCTTACGTACACCTACACAGCCCCCCTGCACCACACTCCATCCTCAAAACCCCAACTATTTTACTCAACCACAATCACCGCATCACTACATATGATCCATGATCCATAATCCATAATCCATGCCCTCTATCAGCTCCCTCAACACCTTATCTCCCCCCCCCTCAACCTCCGATCCCTCCCGCACCCCCCTCCCCTCAACACTTCCCAGGTTTCAAATCCCATCCTATCTATACTACAACGTCTCCCCCCCCTCCATCCCAACACTCGGCACACCACCGCGCCAACGTACGCAGTACGTATTGTATGTATGCCGCTTACCTGGTTCCGGATCCGGTGCAAACCACCAGGTACACTATCTACGCTACGCCTTCAACGTACAGGGGTGAGGGACAGGGGCGGGTGCCATGTACATAGACATGGAACAGCTAACTTTTTTTTTTGTTGGATACGGCCCAGAATGCCTAGATGCAGGATGACGCGCATGGGTAGCGGGGATGTGGCGAACAACTAGACTCGAAAACCGTATCTAATAGGTAAATGACGAATGGCGTATCGACTGTTCTATTCATGGTAATCCCCTCGTTATCTGTGCACCCACGTATACCATGCACGCATTCTATGGAATGCATATCCACAATCGCATCATCACAGATAAGTCGCCTAAAAAGGGAATAACTCAAACTGTATTTTCGCATTTCAAGACTGGATCAGATCGTGTTTGCATTACATGGAATAGTTCTTCAATTGCTAACATGGACGTGTCTAATACGCCAACGCCAAAAACCCGTGCCAGCGATCATCGTGAAAAACAACTCTGTACATCGACAGTCGGTATTACACTATCGGTACCTTTTTGGTAAACAGACATTGAAGTATGCATTATAGGTCCCGCCGCCATTCTAACTCTACGCAATTCATCTGCATCGTAAGGGGTTCAAACAATTCACCCTTGTGTCTCTAATCCTCCATGTCCTCGTTCGTAACTCTAGGTGGTATCACAATTAAAAGGTCGCAACGGCAACGGCAACAGCTTGATCGTCAGAGTGGCTGATGCTGATGCTGATGTTCTTGACGCCAACCCTGTTCGCCTCCTGTTCAGCAAAGCCGTATAGCTATGATAATATTAGCAAAAAAGCCTAAAACTGTATTAAGAAGTAAAACATACCTTCACAGTAGGAGCACCCGTCTCATCATTGACAATCTCAATATCCTTCAACCCGGCGCCAGCGCCCTTGCCCTTGACACCTAGCGACTTGAAGACAGCTTCCTTAGCAGACCATTTGCCTGTGAAACTTGCCTCGGGGCTGCCTGCCTTTTGGCAGTAGGCGATTTCCGAGCTAGTAAAGTTACGCTCCAAGAAAGTATCATTCTCGATGTTGATCGCACCAATGGCTTCGACATCTACGCCAATCTTGGTGTTTGAGGCAGCGGTGGCCTGGGTGAGCGATTCGATAACTTTCTTAGTCTCCTCGGCTTTCTTGTCCTTCTTTTGGTCCGCAACAGGCTTATTGGGGTAAGAGTATTTGGCGGTCTTCTTGTCGATCGTAACACGAGCTTGAGGATTGAGGAAGATCTCTTGCATCTTCTCCTCCTCGTACGGCGCCTTATCCTTGGCACGGAACATGGTGTTGTTGATAAGACCATCGTGGAAGTACCGGTACGCCTTCTTCTGACGGGCTTCAACCTTCTGCTTGTACGTAGCATACTGTGCGTGGTCGAGGGTTGCGAAGAGGTACTTGGGGTGGATACCAATGGCCTGGGCACCCTTCTGACCGAAACCGAAGGAGGTGACCGAGAAGGCCTTGATGCCATCGGTCTGAATGGTGCGGGAGGGATAAACAATGTAGTCAAACTGTTCCATGATCTTGTCGACGTTGTCGGCGTTGCGATTGCCGGGAACAAGGCCGGAGTTGAGAACCTGCAAGCAGCCGTTGAACATCCATGCACCAGCAGCACCCTTGGGATGACCAGTAAGATACTTCTGGAAGATACCAAGCAGAGCATTACCCTTTGTTCGGCCAAGATGACGCATCTGGCTGCAGATGACATCGGACTCGTTCTTATCGTTGGCAACAGTTGAGGTACCGTGGAATGACGCGACATCAAGGTCATCAATAGTGAGGCCCCAGGTGGCGAGCGCACCACGAAGAGGTGCAATTCGCGGATCTTGCTTCCAGAAAGTGTTACCGAGGCTGTTGAGGGCATCCTTCTCCTGTCGCTTGGCCTCGCGCTCAATGTGAGCAGCGCGCTCCTGCAGGTACTCAGACTCGTCAATGGAGTCGCCGGAGGCCTTGATGGCAGCAACCTCTTCTTGAAGATAGAGAAGCTCAGACTCTTGCCATTGCTTAATCTGCTTGCGGCGAAGATCCATCTGCCGCTTCCTGTACTTGATATCGAGGAGTGGAGACGGGAATTTGGAGGGTGCCTCGCGAGCAGTCGTCAAAACACCCTTGCCAGGAGCAGGGACAGAGCGACCAATCTTATCAGTAGCGGTGGCAGTGAAGCCAAGAATACCATAGATGGGAACTCCCATGTCTAGGGCCAACTTGGCATCCATGATGACTTGCATACCGCAGCCTTGGGATTCCATGAAACCGTTCCTGGTAGTGGTGGTTGGGCGGGACATTTCCTTTGGTGTGCGTCCATGAGCGAATTCATCCTCGGCATTGCTGGTGGCTTTCATGTTCGCAAACTCATAAGAGCCCTCCTCCTGGAAGTCATCGAAACCACCGACAAAGCATACGCGAGCCTTGCCTTCGACGATGGTGTCGTAACCAATGTCAATAGATTCCACAGCAGTGGCGCATGCACCAACGGGAGTCTTGATAGGGCCAGTAGATGAGAGGAGCAACATGTTGACCCAGGCGCTCATGGTATTGATGAAAGACTCTTGAAGAATATCCTTCTGAAGGGGCTTGTCGAGGTAACGGTCCTTGTACATGCCCCTGAGAGCAGTGGTGCCACCAATACCGGAACCAATGCAGTTACCGACTTCGGAAAGATGCACGTACTGGTAAAACTCGTATGGGTCGGTGATACCGCTGGACAGGAGAGCCTCCGCAGTCGAAACAAGGACGAAGAGGGTGACAGGATCAACTTGAGAAATGATGTCGTCTGGCACACCGTACTTCTTAGCGTCCCAGCCGGTAGGAATCTGACCAGCGACAAGACGGTCGAAGCGCAGAGCCTTGGGGATCATGAGAGTAGCACCCTTCCTGAGCCTCACAGTGAATTCACCAGAGTCAGGTAGTTCGAAAATTTCAACATGTTCACCGTGTTCACGCTTGAACTCGTCAGCAGTCTCCTTGGAAGCCTCGAATGGATCGAGGTCTTCTTCGATTTGGATTTCTTGGAGAAGCTGCTTCTTGCTCGGATCGTAGCCATTGAAAAGCTCGGGTTCAATGAGACGAATGCCGGAGTGTTCGAGAATGTGCTTCTCATATTTAGTCTTCACGTCCTTGTCGTCAACCGGCTCGCCGGTCTTGGCGTCAACCCATCCAGAGTAGCTTTTGCCTTTGATGGGTCCATTGTGATTCTTGATGAGACCCATGATCCATGCCATTTCGACACATCCCTCAAGGGAGAACTCACCATGGGCCTCCATCTCCCATCGAGTCCTGGAGTTACCCCAGGGGCCGACTTCGGAGAAACCGGTCACGACTACAACCTTCTCGAGATCGACCATGCCCTTAAGATCCTCGTTGAGGGGTTTGACTTCAGTCTCCCAGTCAGGGACCTTAGGGAACTCATACTTCAAGTTCGCTCTTC